ATGTTAGTATTAGTGTTAGTATCTGTGTTAGTATTAATGTTAGTATTTGTGTTAGTATCTGTATTAGTATTGGTTTTAGTGTTAGTATCTGTATTAGTATTAATGTTAGTATTAGTATAAGTATTGATCTTAGTATTAGTATTAGTATCTGTATTAGTATTAGGAATTAATGTTAACATTAGTGTTAGTATCTGTATTAGTATTAATGTTATTATTAGTGTTAGTATCTGTATTAATATTAAGGTTAGTATTAGTATAAGTATTTATGTTGGTATTAGTTTTAGTATTTACTAGGGGTGTCACAGATTTTGTTTTCTCTGGTTTTTTTTTGGTAAAATCAACGTTTTCCAGCATCTGTTACCATGGTGACAGACCCAGGTACCAGCTGGATCTCTGATCCTGGTCCAGTTTGGTTTGTTGGTCAGTAAAATGTAGCCGTGACTGAAGTCTTTTTAATAAAAATAAATAAAACTGCGTTTCTCAGGTCGGTGTCGGCGACGTCACAGAGGAACCGAGCCTCCTTCTTTCCTTCGCTTCACCTGTTTGAGTGAGTTCTGACCCGGGGTTCTGACCCAGTTGTACCATCACACTTGAGGTGTTTTAGTCTGACTTCCTGTTTTGTGTGATGTCAGGAGGAAGAGGCGGAGCTACTCAGTCAGCTTGGAGGAGGATCAGCTGTTTCCTGTTGGGGTGTGTTTGTCAGCCAGAGTTCCTGCTAGAGCTCTGCAGGTCCTGGTAAGACCCGGTTCACTCAGTCTGAACCCAACCAACCCAGAACCCGGTTTTATGATCCTCAACCTGAACCCGAACCCCTGACGTTACCTGAATGGTTTCCTGTCAGTTTAAGACCTGAACCCTGAAACTGATCCATGAACTCACTGTGGACCACCAGTAGACCTTCTGATGACTTGACTTCCTGGTACATCGGTTCCTATGATCAGACCTGGACTGGGACCCACAGAGTCTGAACCACGGATCTAACCTACCTGAGAAGAGGGTTAATGTCTGTAAAACCTCCCTGACCTTTGACCTGTGACCTTTAAAAGGTTCCTGGACTGACATTTTCTTTAAAACCTCCTATAGACAGTTTCTAAGACTGAAGCCTTACCTGGTAGAAATCACTTTGGACTCACCAGGGTCAGAACCTGGTCCTTGTGTGGACATGAAGTCCCCAGCAGGTGGCGTCCTCTCTGCTGCATTCTTCTGAACACTCATGAACCTAAACCCAGCAGAGATGGTCTACCTGTCGGGGGTTACAGGAGGGGTCCAGTCCATGAGTTTTGTGGGTCTGGAGAAAACTTAGATCCGTGTTCCTTGAGGCATTCAGTGAGAGGTTTGATCCAGATCCATTAGGATCTCAGTCCTGGAGAGGAGGGGGTCTGGTTTGGGAACCTCAGAGTCTCAGCTCTGCTTCTTGCAGATGCTGCGGTTCTGTTGGCACCTTCGGACCATGACCTTCAGCGTGCACCAGGCGGTTCTCAGCTGGGACGAGGGTCAGCTCCTCCAAGCCTGAGGTCATGGTTCCTTCCAGGTCCGGGGCGAGTCTGTCTCAGGCAGAGGACTGGAGGGGTCTGGGATCCTGTTCCTGAATGATGGAGGATGGAGCAGGAGACTGATCAGAGCCTCCTCTTCTGTAACAAGTGTGTTGCTCCAGTCTCTTGTGGTGAAAAAGGAGATTAGCTAAAAGGCAAAAGTCTGGATTTACTGCTCTGTGATGATCTTCCTCTGTAGGGTGGCCGGACTCCTCAGAGAGACGGTGAGGAGCTCCATCATCTGGAGGAGCTCGGAGTAGAGCAGCTGCTCCTCATAGAAAGGAGTCAGCTGAGGTGGTTCATCTGATCAGGATGCCTCCTCCTGGTAGGAGACCCTGAGGCAGACCTAGAACTTTGAGGAGGGATTATAAATCCTCTCTGGTCTTGGAACTCTTCGGGGGGCCCCCAGGAGGAGCTGAAGAGGGTCTTTGGGGAGAGGGAGGTCTGGGTTTTCTCCTGGACCTGATACCAACCATGATCCGCCCAGAAATAGGAGGATGGACGTCAGGGATGGGTCCTCCTGTGGATAAGATGTCCACTGAGGTCCTTCGAAGACGATTACTGAGAGCTTCAGGTTCTGAGACGTTCTGCAAGTTGTTGGACTTTGAGGTTTAGTTTCAGCTAAATGTTTGTGTGTTTGTTGTTGTTGTTGTTGTTGTTGTTGTTGTTCATTTGTTAACAGAATATCAAACCTGCTGAGGAACAGAGGGTTGTTCAGGTTCGGATCCTTTAAACATTAGAACCGTTGGAGGGTTTTTGTGTTTTGACGTCTTGTTGTTCATCAGGTTTTCAGACTTTATTAGTTCAGGATTCTGACTTGTTTACATCTTGGAGGTAAATAAACAACAGGAGTTCCACTTGGAGGTTCCTCCGGCCCTGTTGGTGTCTGGTTTTAAAGTCCAATTGTGTTGGCAGGATTTCTGATGGTTCTAGCACCAATGTTCTGGGTTTTGGTTTCTCAGATGGTGTTTGTCTCCACCTGGTGGTAGGATCAAGAACTTCAGACGTTTAATTTATGCTGATCAATAATTCAATCAATAATTGTGGATTGATTGGATCTTTAACTCGATAAAGTGTCGGGTCTCGCGCTCCTGCAGTCGTTCAGGCATCAGAACCCAGAGAACAAGCACCCTCAGTGTTTATGTCCCACAAAGACCTCCTCTGTCCTCGTCCCTTTACCCAGCATGCCTCTCTTCTGACCTTTACACATTTACATGCTGCCTTGGGGGCGTTGCCATGGAAACAGCTGTGCCTGTCTCTCCTCCAGGAGGCCCACGAGGAAGGCATCAACGCCGTGCGGTTCAGCTTCGGCTCGGACCTGCTGGCCACCGGAGGGACGGACCGGGTCATTAAGGTGTGGGAGGTCCGAGCAGGTACGCTCGTCTCAGGTCAGATCCACCTGTCCTCACACTTTACTGTCGGATGATGACTTCACTGATGATGTCACCAGGCTCACTGACCCACAGAACCACACTGGATGGCAGCACCGAGGGCATCACCTGCGTGGAGTTCGACCCCACGGTGAGTCCAGAACTTGGGTCTGGGGGGCACCTCTAGGAGTGGAGATGCTTTACCTGAGCAGACCTGTCAGGGGGCGGGGCCTCTCATGTGTGTCAATGTTTCTGTCTTCAGGGTCGAAGGATCCTCGCATCATCTTATGATAGATCGGCTCTGCTGTGGCAGCTGGACGCCTCTGTTCCCAAGGTAACGAGACAGAACCAGACTCACCTGCAGGTTCAGGTCACCTGCAGGTTCAGGTCACCTGCAGGTCCAGGTCACCTGCA